TGGCTTGGTTGGGTGAAACTGCCCTTCACCCTTAACTTCGCCACCCCATGCCCAGTCTTATTTCGGCCAGGGGCCCGAGATGGGCACTCCAATTTGGAGGAACCGCTTATGGGGCGCCACGATCTTTTTGCTTGCCGCTCTTACACAAGGCTTCTGTCAAGAACAAACCTGTGGGAGGATTACTTTAGCAATGTTCGGGGTGGTCCACCTTTTCGAAGCCAACACCGCCAAACTCACCTGCATTGGCTTCGCATCTACTGCTGCTACTGCTTAGGGGGTTAGGCGGAAAACCACCTAATCCGTAACCCCTCAAACCCACTAGCCGATAGAGATGCCTAATCCGTCATCCGGTGGGGTATTAGGATTGGTTGCACAGTGCTCAGCTTATAGCGCTTTAAGGCACACCAAAAGCAAGAAGCAAGACTGCACAGCATTAAGGGACATAAACCTTGCCTTCGCCACACCTTGTCTTAGGACTATTTGCCCTTTGAGGGTGCTTCAAAGCGCCTTTCAAGCACATCAAAAGCAAGAGGTAAGACTGCACAGCATTTAGGTACAAATCTTGTGATGTGCTGAAAAGCGCTTAAAAGCACCCTCAAATTGCAAGTAATCCTAAAACAAGGTATGGCAAAAGCAGAATTGATGTCCCTTAGTGCGTTGCAATCGTGTTTCTTGCTTCTTGCTTTTTGTGTGCTTTTTTTAACAGCGCTATATGCATTGAGCAAATATACCCATTCAAGTGTAGATGCACGACTGATCAAATCAGATGTATTCACATGTATGTTCCCCCCGTCCACATCCCCCCAGGCGACAAAATTGTCGGTCTTGGGGGGGGTACCATATATATGTTTATATATATATATATTATATAGATGAAGCGTGTGTATAATGTGGATATATATATATATATAGTTTTTTTTTCTGTTTTTGTTAATGTATATATATAAATATATGTATATATATATATATATGAATGCATTATAATGAGTGATTTCATTTGTTTTCTGCAGTCTTCTGGATATCTGGATGCAGTATGATACAGTGTAAATGGAAAATGCAAGATTCCAACAGTGAATCCTGCGGCGGAGAACGCCGCTGAACTTGCTATGTCATGAGGTTTGTTTGTGCAGCACGGCAACTTGCTTCAAATTCAAGCTCAAATTCTACCTGGGATTCAAAGGATTGGTGGAGCAGAACTCATGCGAAACCATATCAGGGGTTTTACTGTGACCGTTGTAGAGAAGGGGGTGATGAGATTGGCTGGACAACACCTCCAATTGCCTAGCAGTCAAGCCCCACCACTAGTCAGTTGTCTCTGCAAGTTCCGGATTTTCCAAGACAGGAACAAACCAAGGTCACTGAACATGTTGGACATCAAACATCCAGAGCACCCTTGGCTATGGAAGAGTTCCCCCGCCCGAACTCTCACAAAAACACACACAACCAAAACCTGAACGCAAGCAACATAAAACGGAGTTCCAAAAGGATTGCTTCTAGACCTTTGCCCCCCTCAAAAAAAAAACAAGAGTGGATGTTCTGTGCATCCCTATCCTCCAACATCCAACCAAAGCTTTCACCTTTCAGGGCCCCCGAGAAGCCCCCAACATCCTCGATCCCGGCGCGCCACATGTTCGCCCAGCATCGGGCATCGCCGAGCGTTTGGAGATACCTAGGAGGTCGTCGGGACTGCTCTGCCTGCGGTCTCAGGTCGTCGAAGACGCGGGGTGCACCGGTCTGGGCAGTAATTGCCATAGCCGATTCTAGGATGGCACCAGGGGATGGGGCCTCTCTTCAAGTAGAATCATGGTAGCCAAACTGAAGATTGAACTAAACTTAGAAGTGGCCAAGTGCGTCTCAAGTCTGACATTCTGCTTCCTAATCCTCAACATCGTCTATCATCCAGTGCGGAAAATTGCTCTATCACAAGTGAGAATGCTCTGCATTCCCGGCTTGCAATTGCCAACTTGGTGGCAGCCTGACCCGTGGCAATTTACTGATTAGTTGCTCAAATTGTTCACGAAGCACGCGTTCACAAAAAACATGAGCAGAACTCTTCGGGTTGTGACAGCGAAGTGTTGTTAGCTGAACAAGGGGGGCCCTAGCAGTTGTATATGATCTTCGGCATGATTGCTGAACCCGGTGAGTCTGTTCGATGCAGCTATGGCAGCTTGCCTTGGCTTACTGGGGGCTGGTGTCCTTCGGAAACACTTGCAACTTGTTAATCAAAGAAACCACACGATAACTAGCTACAATCACTCAGATCCTTGCTGCCCAAAAACACTGCTCTTCATGTCATATATAAGCCCTATGAATGTTGTCCTGTGGCAGCCTCCTCGCATTTAAAAACGCACAGGCGCCCGCGCGCACACGCACACATCATGCACGCACACATAAACAAACACAAACACGCAAGCACACACCCACACACCCTCACCCTCCTTTGCCTGGCTTTCAGCAGCGCTACCCTTTGGTCCAGCAACCACGTCGAGGGATAACGTGCCTAGTCCAAAGAACGGACCCCACGGATCAAGTCTTGATGCTTCGAAGTCCACGTGACAAATCTGGTTCAACATCCTGACTCATTTTGTAGAAGTCCAGTTCACTCAATGATGTACTTTGCCTGGGTTGGCTAACCGAAGCGAGACATCACAGTCTTCAGGATTTGGAGCCACAAGGTGTCTGAGGGGGGGAGGGTATTGCAAGGAGTTTCCTCAAGATTCTATGCCAAAGAATGCCCCAAGCATCCCCAAGCTTGTGCTGACTGCTCCCTTCCAGGCCTGGTACTGATCCTCATAAGCGGTCTTTAGGCCATCCACCTCGGAATGTTCCACGTGCGCCACCGGCATTCTTGCAGAAGGACGGGGAGGATCTGAATCACGTGCTCTTTCCAAACAACTCCTACACCTGGGTCAACATCCATATGGTTTGCACATAAAACAACATCGATTGTTTGCTTCGTGAAGCTCCGTGTGGCCCAGGTTAAAAACAAACTTTGTCCTTCTACCAAGCCACTGCATAGAGCGAGTCCAAATGAAGCTCACGGGCCTCTGGATGGGAGTGGCTCTTGGTGGTAATTAATCCCTTTCCTCAAATGCCTTACAGTAGCAAGTCATATATGTAGCAAGATTGATGATCCTCACAAACCAGGCCACATCCGGTCTGCAGTAGATGGCGCAATCCCCGAATGGTGTTTTCTATGGACCCCCAGATATAAACGATCTTCGTGCGCCAGTGCCGTCGAAACCTCTGAAAGTCCCTCAATCCAGTGGACATGGGGTCACGGAGGGAGGGAGGGAGGGGGAGGGAGGGGGAGGGAGGGAGGACCCACTCCATATAGGACTGGGACCCGTTTTAGACAGGACGAAGGAGGGATGCCTGTTCACTTCCTCTAGCACCACCCAAGGCCTTGCAGCCAATGGGACCTGGAAGTGTTAAGCTTCTGAAGGCGTTTCTTTTGACATGCACGGACGCACATGAAATAATCATGGACGTGAAAAAAGGTCCTTTGGATGCCCGTTTTCCTCTACCAACAGGTGGTTTTCCACATAGTATCTTCAAGGAGTGTACCTACATTGACCCCTTTTCAAGCACCCAAAAACAGGCCGGTCAATATGCCGCTCTCATGGGTCAGGTGCGCCTTGGCGCCCAGCACCGGCACGGTGCGAAGAAGGAACTCCGTCTGACCCCACAGGTTGCCTGGGCGCAGTGGATCCGGATGTATTCCCGGACGGGTGTGGAATGATGTGGGATGCCGATCACCTTGAGACATCCATGGTTCGATATCCTAGGCCTCCAGTCGTACCTTCTGAGAGGGTGTGTGGGTGGGTTTGCAGGAGGTGGAGGTGTAGGGATATATCCTGTGGGGAAGACATCCATGGAGTCCAAGATTCATACAGCTTTTGAAGCATCTAAATTTGGACAGGTCCGTCAGTCTGTTCGACCGTGTCTATGGGGTCACACCCGCAAAAGCTGCAAACCGACTGGTCGTCCGGTCGGCTGCTCCTGTGGGCCCCTTCGACCGGACTCCAGCCCCTGAAAACCGGAGCCACTGGCCAAGCCAATGAGGATGGCCAGCAAATTGGTCACGATGATCCGCTCCGGAGTGGTCCCAACCTCCGGACGTTCTCCACCGAACGCCGGTTATCGCGCCCAAAGACGAGAGATGTAACTCGTCCGCGTATGTCCGCGTGGTTCTCCGCGAGGTTCGTTCGACCGACTCGACCGGTTCGGTGGAGGTTCAAAGGTCCGAAGATGGTCGACGGCTTTCTCTGGCTTTCATGGCGTTAAGTGCGAAAGGTCCGAATGCCTTTTCTCTACGTCGACGGTACCTGGCCTACGTTGGATTTGTGGCTATGTGATGTTCGACATGTAAACCGCTCTGATGACTCAAAGACCTGGCTAGGGCTGGAGGGAAAGCATCCTGCTGAGTTGAGCAACGGCTACCAAATCTTGGTGTGGGAGAATTGCTGGGTTTGCACTTCTTTTGTTGGGCGTGTCGAAAAGGATGTCTATACAATAATTCCAAAAAAGAACAATGCAAATGCTGAGTGAGCTTGGCGGCCGCAATGAAGGGGCGTGAGTTCAGTCAAAGCAACATATCTGCATGATTGCTTGATAGAGTCTGGCGGCAATTGTTGCCTGTTAATTTTGCATGTCTCGTGAAGAGCGCTGGGGGTGGGGTCGGGTTGGCATGCTTTCTCCCTGTCTGGCTTCCTGAAGCACGTGTGCCTCTCAATTGGAGTGGACAATGGCATCCTCAAACGTCCCTAAGTTGAGCTTGCTGGGTATGCCCTCTGTGCCAAGCTCCACAGGGTTAGCTTCTTAAGATTGTCCAAAGAAAGTCAAGATGGGTTGTTGTTTCAGTGCTGAGGGCGCCTAAATCCAAAAACTCTTGGAGTATGCGCTCTCGAACCCCTCTTCCCATGTCTTCCCCATCTCCCCACCCGCGACGTTCAAAGAAAACGCTGGCCGAGTGGCCAAATTGAGGTCGCGGCGGAGCTCGCCAGGCTTCCTGGGATGAGAGATCGAGTTCGGAGCACCAGGTTGCATGGAGGAGCCTTTCAGAAACCGGTGCGTTGGTCTGTTGACCCCAAAAGCCATGGAAGTTGGACATCAGAAAAAGGGTCGCTCAGTTGTCGGTGGAGTGGACGACTCAGTCAATGGACTCTGCCCCTACTGACTCCACAAACCACGTGGGACGTGGGACGTCCGGCGCCGACCGATCAGGTGGGAGCGTGGTAGTTTCAGACCTCCTCCGTGTCTGGGCTGGGTCCCTGGTATCATCCGCGGCGACCTGTTCACCAAGACTCCCAAAGATGTAGGTCCACAGACTCTCCTCCTCCGCAGCGACCTTTGGAGCCTCAGCTTCGGAGCCTCGGAGAGCGTTCAAGGTCAGGAGCTGCGGCTACGGGGAGACTTAGCCTCCCTCCAAGGAAAATGAAGTGGATGATGGAATGGATGGAAACCATGTTCCTCTACAAAAGGTACGAGTAGGGGGTTGTCCACTTGCCACTTCTATGGATTCTATGGGAGGGGTAGTTAACAGCTGGATCACCATCATGAAGACATGATGTGACATGTGAAAGCCATCTAGAATCTAGACGGAACTCGCCCCAAGTGCAGTTGCCATTAAGTTGAGCAACCCACCGCAAAATCTGAGAGAATGTGCGGGTGTTGAAGAGGCCAGTAACTACTGGCCCAAACACCTCGAATCTTTCGAACTTGAAACAAGTCAGAAGTTGAACAAGTCAGTTCGGAACCTTTCTGCGCCCTTCTTACTCCACAAGGGGAACTGAACATCACTGCACATTGACCAGTCCAAACATCCTGGCTTGTGACCGACAGTCCGTTCTTCCACATGACGAACACACACCCCAAAAAATGCAGCTTTTCGCAGCTCCAACGAGCTCCGGAAAGAGAGCTCCAACATGAAGAACAACATCGAACCCTTGGACCGGAGATACTCCTCCAAGTCCGACCCTTTGGCTCCGCACCACTCCACCCTTGCCGCCTTCGGACCCCGCCTTCGCCACGGCTCGAGACCGAGACGTCCTCGGCGTCTTCGGGCCGTTCGCTGCGGGCGGCGCGTCCGGCACCGGCACCAGCCGTGCCGCGCGGTACACGCGGCGAGGTGAAGCACAGCGGCAGCACGGTGACCTGAGACGTGCGGTTTTTGGAGCTCCACGTTCGGATTTTTTTGGGGGAGACTATAGATAGAAGATGATAGAAGTGAAGTCAGAGATGGGAGAACTAAGGGAGAGAGGGAGAACTTCCATTAGGTGCTGTCTGGAATCTGTAGATCCCCCACAAAAACTGACCAGCCCGGATTTGACATATCTTTTTTGTTTTAGGTGGCTTCTTGCTTGACCCTCCTAATGGTTTTGCAGCTAGCATGCTCAGCCAAATAAATCTTCTCAAAAGGCCCTCTTTGGGCTAGGACATAACCGAACTACTATGGCATGCTTGCCTATGGTTTCAGGGCCGATGCATTCATATATTCCTAAGACAACTTCTTCAAATCCACATTGACAAAACAAATGATCGTTCGTTGAAACACATCCGACAAAGAAATGTCCTTTGGTACCCCTCAACGGGTCCAAAAACGTGTCTTCGATTGAATGAATCCCCCGCCGTGGCGTGGAGAAATCCTTCGAGGGACCAGACCCACCTGCCTCGCAGAGCCAAGGTGCCAACATCACAAAGGGCGCGAGTCGTCTGCTCCTCGTGGCTCTCAGACGGAGACGTCGTGGCTCGCTGCATGATGACGCCATAGCGGCCGAGGAACCGACCGAGTCAGCGTAGCAGCACCACTTGTAAGGGGTGGTCGGTAAACTTCTGCCTATGTATGTTCCTTCCAATAGCCAGTCTTTGGGTGGTCCTGGCAACAAGCGTCGGGTGACTGGTGGGTGAGCCACCTTTCATGTACCAATCATGCTTGTGCAGCTCTGATCCGTGTCTTTGTTACTCTGCTCTCGTGTTCTCTACGGCACTTGGCTTTCTTTCCAAGTTGCTTCATTCTGCAGTTTGTTTAGGCTTGAGTCATTCTCCAGAAAGTCCTAGGAAAGCAACCGGTGTGTCCCTTTTGGTATACCTGACAATACGCAGGGAACCAACTGTTTCTGGTCCGATTTCTCTGAGGGTGAAGCTTCCAGCACTTTCTGCTTAGGGCTGAAGGGAGCGACTGTCCGGCGATTTCCCTTTGAGCGTATTTCAGCTGAGGATGCTACAAATCCGCATGCTGGAGTCCCCACACACTGAGAACATAATGACCTGGAAGAATGTCTTGCTAGCAATGATTGATTTGCCTACATTGGCCGTCCGTGTGGCCAAGTGCTTGCCTCAAACCAAGTAGATGGTGACTTGATGCATGGCAAAGCGCCATTCCCTTTGGGGAGCTTGGAGGCGGTTGGAGGCTTGCCGCGGAAGCCGTTCCATCGACCACTCGGGCGAACGTGAGCAATGCCATGTAAGAAGTCCCTCATCCAAGGTTCACGGCGGCCACCCCATTGTCATCCTCACTCTGCGACAGCGTCAGCTCGAGTGAAGCTAGACTAAATGTCTCAATCTGGCTCAGGCTCTTCTCGGTCCTCTCGCCAGGTCACTCGTTCAAAGCGTTGGCCATTGGCATGTGGCTGCACAGCCAAAAGCAACCAAAACTGTATGAATTACTACATCCTAGCAACAATGGCTATATATATGAGTCGTGCTGTTCCGTCAATTTCCATTGATCTCTTGGAGACATATGACTAAGAACTGGCATGTGCACAGAGTCTTGCCTGAACTAACATGTCAAACTAATACAGTTTTCCCCGGATAGCAAGAGCTATTGGGTTCTTATTTCAAGCGAGAGCCTGGGTGCTGGTGCTGCAAAAAGCATGCAGTTGCTGCCCACAACTATCTTTTGCTATCTGGGGTCTATCCTATAGATAGAAACTTTTTTAGTGGGGATTCATGTTCTGTCTATTTTCATGACTTAATTTTTTGAACTTGTCTTCGGGGTGTCGGCAGTCCTGATTCAGATGCTGCAGCAGCTGCAGCAAGCCTTCGGCGGAGGCGGTGTCACCTGGGACGAGAACAATCCGAGGGTCTGTCGCCATTGGAGATCCAACCAAGAATACACCCTGGAAGACGATGCCATGGACCCTGAAAACCACTGGTTGGTAGAGGATGGAACACTCTTCCAGGGGGCCAGACAGTCAGGGTCGATAGTTTTCGGATACCCCTTACTCTACCATGGGGCATCCGGACACCCATTTCATAGAGGATTTGTGTTTATAAAATGGACGTCCGCAAAAAGAGTTTATATATAATGATGGCCGTATGTGTCTCCAAGTTTGGTATATAATGATGGTGCTTCTAAGGTATCAAAAAGGATCAAAGAACTCTGGAGAAGTGGCATGCTTCTAAAATGATAGGCTCCAGGATCAATAAGCACCAGTATAGCTTTTCCTGAAACCTTTATGAAATGACAAATCCACAAGCAAACCTGGGCGACCCCATCACTCCATCTTTGGGCTACTACTTCTTAGGACTCTGGGGTGTAGAAGTCAAAAAGTGTGGTTTTGATTGGGTTTCCAGTTCCTCTCAGGCTCCTGGGGGAAGAAAACCCAGCTGAATTGAACACATATTTATAAAATGACCTGGTAGTTTCAAAATTAGCAAAATATGCAAAAATTATTTGGAGATATCATTTTATAAATGGTATCCCCTGTTCAACAGGGGATCTAGGTCAGCAACCCTGGGGACCCAAATGGTTCAGGTATCTTTGGGCTACTACCTCTTAGGACTCTGGGGTGTAGAAGTCAAAAGGTGTGGTTTTGACTGGGTTTCCAGTTTCTCTCAGGCTCCTGGGGAAAGAAAACCCAGCTGAATTGAACACATATTTATAAAATGATCTGGTAGTTCCCAAATTTTGCAAAATATGCAGAAATTGTTTGGAGATATCATTTTATAAATGGTATCCCCTGTTCAACAGGGGATCTAGGCCAGCAACCCTGGGGGCCCAAATGGTTCAGGATGGTTCAGGTATCTTTGGGCTACTACTTCTATCTACTTCTGAGGACTCTGGTGTGTAGAAGTAAAAAGGTGTGGTTTTGACTGGGTTTCCAGTTTCTCTCAGGCTCCTGGGGAAAGAAAACCCAGCTGAATTGAACACATATTTATAAAATGATGTGGTAGTTCCCAAATTTTGCAAAATATGCAGAAATTGTTTGGAGATATCATTTTATAAATGGTATCCCCTGTTCAACAGGGGATCTAGGTCAGCAACCCTGGGGGCCCAAATGGTTCAGGTATCTTTGGGCTGCTACTTCTTAGGAC